TGAATGGCACAGATTGTCCCTCTACACTTATTGTCTGTTTCCTGGATACCCTGAGTGACAGTATCCTCTCTCACGTTTTCACCCAGCTATGCTATTTTCCCTTGCCAAGATCCAGAGACAGTAGGGCCAGTTGACCATGCATGGGAAGCCCTGAAACCATGAATCAGAGAAAACCTTCCCTTCTTTAAGTTGATTTGCTCAGGTATTCTGTCATAGCAGCAGGACATAACTAACATAGGAACATATCAAAGACATAGCAGTCAACAGGAAAGTGTCCCAAAGGGCCAATCTGGAAACCATTTAAGTACAATCTAAGTAGTACAGAGCTGGATTCAAGCCCCAAGGATACAATAAGTAGCCAAGTTTAGAGGACGCATCTAGAGACCACTGTAAGTGAGTCCACAAATAAGCCCACAGCCAGGTGTGGTAGCCCACGCTTTTAACCATAGAAAGGCAGAAGCAGGCAGATCTCTTTGAGTTGGAGACTAGCTGGGCCCACAGAGTCAGACCCTGTCTCAAAACAAACAAAGAAACAAACACACATACATACAAACAAACAGAAATAGACTCACCCTGTGACTTAACTTATTTTTCAACATGGGTGCCAACACCACTCAATGGGAAAAGGTGTTGCCAGACAATGCTAGGACAACTTGATATCTGTGTGTAAAAGAGCAAGCATGGAGTCTTCGCTCATAATACTCACAAATCAATTCAAGATGAGTCAGAGACCTAAGTGAAAGCAAAACTTAAAAACATTCACAAGGACTCATTGGCATTAGCCTCCATGATCTTGGTTGGCCTCCGTAACTGCTTTTTGGGTTCTTAAATATCACACCAGAACAAGTGGCAAAACAATGAATGTACTCAGACTTCATGAAAACGTACAACCTATTAGGATGCCGTCAAAAAGTAGCAAGCTCCACAGAACAGAAGAAAATCACAAGTGCACATCTTGTGTCTGCTAAAGACCTAGTGTCCTACAGACCAGAAGCACAAAGACAAATAACCCAGTTTAAGGAGAAGCAAAGAGCTGACGATGGTTTAATCCTAGCACCTAGGAGACTGAAGCAGGACTGTTCTACACAGTGAGCCCCCGTCCAGCCACAGTTATATAGCAAGACTTTTTTCTTTTTGGAAAAACTGTAAATATTTAAGAAACATTTCCCCAAAGATCATACCATGCCCAGGAAACACACATGGAAATCTCAATACCGTTATATCCTTAGTTGTTAGGGAAATGTGAGTCAAAACCATAGAGAGCACTTCATGCTTATTAGGATGAACATTATTTAAAGTGTAATATGCACTTTTCTATCATCCTTCAGTTTCTGGTTTTTTTTTTGGACACCCCTTTTTGATTCAGCATGTCAACACATCTAGGTATAGCTCATTTTAACAGCTACATAGCCCCCTAGGTGAATGCATCATAATGGACTCAGTATCCCACTGATGAACATGTCTGCTTTTCATCCTAGTGAGTAGTGCTATAAGACACATTATGAAGCTTCCTCTGTGTGTGTGTGTCTGTGTGCCGTTTCTTTAGGAAATAGTCTCAGAACTGCTGGGTCTTAATAAATGCATATTTTTTGATTTTACTAGACTCAGGTCTACAATATGTTTTTTAAAATTCTTGGGGTGAGGTGTGGTTAAGACTTTATTTATTTCAGAAAGACAGTACAGTACACGGTCACATATCCTTTCAGCGGGGTTTGAGAAATAGCCCATGACCAATATTACCTGTTTTATTGTGTATAATCGATCTGCATTAAGTGATAAATGAAAGTGATACTTGGCCTCATATCAGGTCCAGTGTTTACCACCAAATGAGTTAAGATATCACTTGCAGTTTCAGAGCTTTGTGTCGTTTGGAACGACACACCAAGCACTGAATGTCTCCCTGCAGTAGTAGCCATGTTGCATTACTGCCTCACCACTACAAGGTTAGCTCTCCAAATCTTGCCAGAAACAGCAGATCTTCAGAGTTTTGGCAATCTGATAGTTGTATGCATTTCATTCCTACAGTCAAAACAACAACACAAGGCTGGGCATGTATGGTAGCACACCTTTAATCTCAGCACTAAGGATGACTGTGAATCTGAAGCCAGCCTAGTCTACATGGCAATTCCAAGCCAGCCAGGACTATACAGCAAGACCCTGTCTCAAAAACAAAACCAAGAGCAAGCAATCGAACAACAGAAACCCATTCCACAGTAAGTCCACAGTAACTAGAATGACTAGTCAGAGGCAGCTTCCTGCTGAGGTGGACCACCTACCCACGTGACCTGCCTCTCCATCAGCCTGGAGCCCAGCTGTCCTTATCTTCTCTCCTGGTTGCTGCCCTGCACCTGAGGCTTTCCTGTTTCCAAGAAGCACTGATTATATGGTCTTTGTCTTTCGTGTATCTACACATCTGCCCTCAGTATCCAGAACCCATGTAATCTTCCGATTTGCTCCTCATTCCTGACGTCTTCCCTAAAACCTTGCACAACACCTGTGTGAACTGGTAGTTCAGAGCTGGCAACCTGCAAAGCCTTGGAGGTGCTGTCATGGGCACCCTTCCAGTGTCTGCGGAAGTGGTTTCCCCAGCAGGCTCTCTAGGGAAGGGGCTCGCTGGGGAAGCAGCACCTTCCTCCACTAGCTTTAGAAATAAGCACCCCATGGAATAGAAAGGAAGAGAAAGCCATCCACTTAGTTTTATCTAAGCCTGGTAACAGAGAGGAGAATGTGAGGGAGAACAGAAGGGAGATGCAGTTAATTACCCTTCCAAGCAAAGGCGAACACTGGAGATGGCGAGACCATTTACAGGAGGGAATAGACCCATCATTGACACTACAGAAAGGGAGGATTGTTCAGGGCCAGGAAAGCGTCTCGATGTTCAGATTCCATTCCCTTTCTGGAGCTCTGGAGGGAGAAAGGTCATGACTTGGGCTGAGAAGGAACACTCAGCAGACTAGGAGGGGGCTGCTACCTTAGGTCCTGTTCTGTGCTTGCAACCTGCCCCACCCCAAGGGAATGGGCTTCATTCCTTTCTGGAAGCTGGAATGGGCTGGCAGAGGAAGGGGTACCCTGGGAGAGGCCCCCATTACCATCACAAGGGCTGCCAGACCCCACAATGCAGTGGGGCCCCAAATGCAGGGTAACCCTAACCCTGCAGTGATTGAAACAGATAGAGGGGGAGCTCTCCCACACAATGCCAGTCCTGGCCCCTGTCCTCCTCCTCCTTGCACTTCCTCAAGAGCCTTTGTCTTCTGGTCCCTTGGGTTTGGAGGCTCTCTCATTCCCCACAAATGCTGCCCATTAACCTCAGAATGAGGCCTCCAGGGGAAGGCCTGGCCCTTTCTCTCCATGCTTCACCTCTCAGAAGCTCTTCTGGTTCTCCTCTGCTTGCTATGCAAAAAAGATGCCCAGCTGTGGGAAAAAAAAAATCCCTGGGTTTGAATTGGTCCACAGGAGCTGCTGGTCCTTCCTGGGCTGGACATTTCCAGCCAGTGCTCTGTGGTGGGAGGTGCTCTAGGGTGAGCAGCCTGGCACAGGCCAACAACCACATAAGACCCTGTGCCATCTCCCTGTGCCCCAAGGGTAGAGTCTTCTGGACCCTCAGTACACATCCTGGTACGACTGCTCTGCTCTTTTGGGTTTCCTAAAAAGGGCGAGCACCTGTCTTCAAAAGACGCCAGCGCTTGGGGAAGCAAGGAGAGAAGGTGATGGTTCAGAGCCTTCAGTGATCACTCGCAGGGAGAGCTACCTCTGAAGGGATTTTGTGATCACTCATAGTGTTTAGTTATGTCTCTTTCTTAGACATTGATGAAATCCACAGACCCTGCTTTCCAAAAGAAAGCAGCATGGGTGAATGAAAGCCCATGTGTACACCACACCCACACCCACAGTTCAAGGAATCTGGACTTCTGGTGTGTGTGTGTGTGTGTGTGTGTGTGTGTGTGTGTGTGTGTGTGTGTGTATGCATGTATGTATGTATGTATGTTTTGGCACCGGAATGAGGGCAGAGGAAGCTCCAGGTGGGACCGAGCACAGGCTTCTCTTGGAAGACTGTCTTTACTCAGAGCCAGCTGGTGGTCCTGGTTCCTGCGTAGGGCTTTGAGGTGCGTATTTCCCACCAGTCTTGTTCTGGGCTTGGAGAGGAAGCCAGGAGACAAGGCAGCTTCGGAAATATCTGTGAGTTGCTCAGCTGAGAGGCATGCGGTACACGGGAGGGAAGAGATGACAAAGCCTTCAATAGTATATGGCTATGTCAGGCCAAGCACTGTAACCTTCACAGGGCTCACAATTACAATGCCCTTATAAATTAGGGAGCATTCTCATGTCATTGGCAAGCTAGCAAATGAAGATGATCCAGCTAGCAGGCCGCATTGTAGGAATTGGTCAGGCTGGGGGCTTGATGTTCCTTCCAGCTTCTTCTGAGGATTAGCAGGCCGGTCCTGTTGCATAGACATTTCTACTCACCATAGATGCAGAGTGCCCAAAGTTCATTCACTGTCTCCCAGCATACAATAGGTTAGGGGCAACTTCAAGCTTTAATGTAATCTGCACCTCAAGGACTCCTGTGGCGTCCACCAGTTAAACCATAAGGTCATGAAACGAGCACCAGCTCTCTCCTGTCTTCCTTTCTGACCCCCTTTCACTCCACTGCTGCTCAGCTCCCCCTCTGCCAGGCTAGCTTGTTCTGGGTAATTCTGCTTGGCTGGTGCCTGTCCCCACAGAGTGGGTAAACAGCTGGCCCCAGGACCCCACATAAACTAGGCACTTCAACCCACCTCTATTGGTGGCTGTGCCAGTGTCCGCTATAGATCTTAACAACACCTGAGGTCACAATATGGGCTCTCCACACCAGGTTCTCTCATGCTATGTCCCTCAGTCAGCTCAGTGGGAGCACACTGCCTGCTAATCTAGGATTGGTCACAAACCACAGGCACATTGTGCAAAAGGGATAAAAAACAAAAACCTCACAAGAAACACAGTGGCTGTGGGAACAGGTATGCAGGTTCTCATATTTAATAGCAGTTAAAAGAGGAACGTGTACAGGGGAATGGGATACACATGCTCTTTACACAGAGGAGCCCCCTTATGCGGATGCCTTCAGCAGAGCTGCTTTCCTAGTGGGCGTGAGAGGTACAGATGGACCCCACTGCGTTTCTCCCACAAACGTGGAACTGTGCAAGATGAAAAGGCTATTTCCATCACATCAGTGAAGAGTGACTAAAATGCAGATGAATAAAAGGAACGGAGGGGTAGAGGGAGGAGGGCATGGCAAAAGCAGCCTGGAGGAGGCCTGGAGAAACTAACTGAGTCTGCAGTCAGAGATCTGAGTAGGAACCTCGTCCAGTGCCACCCCTGGGACGGGGACCCGCTGAGCTGGGTGTTGTGGAGCTAGACGGACTGTTGGGCCTGGTGCATGGTAGAGTCACCGGGAGATACTCATTTTCCTGACAGGGACTCTGTGGGTTCCCACGCCCAGGCCCTGTTGTTCTCCACCCACATCAGAGTCACCTGCACTGAGAGATTTTTTTTTCCATGAATGGTAAAAAACTAGTGAGCCTCTGCCTAACCACAGCTCACAAAACAGACTGTCTACACAGATATGGATCTGGTTGGAAGGCCACACCTCCAGGCAGCAGTATGTCACCCCACCTGAGACTCTTCAGGATATGTGTGTCTGCAGGCATCTGAGGTAAGGTCACAGAGTTTGAGGCCTACAGGCATGCATACTGTGCTCAAGTCCTCAAGGCCAGCTCAGCTTTAGGCCTTATGGATATATATATATATATAAAAAAGCGTTCTACTTCATCCATTCATAATCACCTTGACAACGTGGTCCCTGGCTTTCACAGCTCAGAAGTACATGCTGCTTTTTATTAGGAAACAATGCAGGCAGATGTGGAGGCTGGAAGAGAAAAGTCGAGTGGAAATCCTCACACACCCTGAGATTGCATGAGATTTCCTTCAGCATGACTCTGCTGTGGAAGGTAGCATGGTCCTGTCACTCCACCAGTTTTCATTCACTCTATGACCGTTCCTCTGGGGCAGATGTGGAGACTAGATGAGCAGCAAGATGGAGTCTAAAGGACAAATGCTGTGACAGCCCAGTAGTCTCTCTACTGCACTGAAGGCAGACACACAGGCAAAGGGCCTTTCTCTCCTTCTCAGTCAGCAGAACTTCAGGTTATTGAGTCACTTCTCAGCCCTTTCAACAAATCCAGGCCTTGGAGATGCCATCTTGTCTTCTTTCCCGCAGGCCCCTGTCTTCCCTTGGCTAGTCACGTTTTGGGTGCTCTTATGAGATTCTCCTCCTGAACCTCTGCACCATTGTGTAGCCCAAGGATGAGACTTGCAGGCATCTGCAGAGCACCTGAGTGGCTTGTACTCTCCAGTTATAGAAAGCTGTACCTCTGTGTAGTGTTCTCTTCCTGTTGGTGTTCAAGATGGCTATAGTAAGGGTAGGGAGTACTCTAGATGGGGTTAGACCGCCAAGACGGTGACTTGGCGGATACAGAAAGAAGTACATGGGAGGTGACATGGGCAATGAGAGGGGGCTTGGCCAGTTTCTCTGCTCATCACTGAAGCTGGAAACACTCTTGGGCATCTGGGTTAGTGTTCCATGATGCAATTATACTTTCAGCAGCCGCCTAACAGCTTCCACATTTGTCTGAGGGCGTAGACCCCTCTGACCAATATCACAGTGAAGTCCTTGCATTGTCTCAGGAGTCTATGTAGCTGGCCCAGGCTAGATCAGACTCCAGGAAGCACTCCTGTGTGAGGCCAAGGGACAGCTCAGAAGATGGGAGCCCTGGGCTTGAGCAAGACAAGCTTTGTCTCTATAATTATAATAATGTAACTGAGTTGATGATAGCTGGGCCACAGGAAATAAGCCATCAGCAATAGCTGACCCTGTCTACCTCATGGTGATAGCCCAGAGCATCTAGTCCTGTGAAGGCTGTGCCCACGGTGTAGAACTTGGGACAGAAGGCTGTTGTTTAAACATGAGTGAGCAATCTCAAGAAGTCATCAGGCTCTACCCAAGGTGAAGGCACCCAGGATGTTTTCAGGCTTGGGGGGGGGGGGGAATCTGACCATTTAGAGCTGCTGCTGCAGGAAGCAAGTGTGAGTCTGTGAGACTCTCACTCTGGGACCTTCAGAAACCACTGCTGATCTATGCTATGAACCAAGTCATGAAAGAAGGGACAGAGATAAGTGGAAAGGAGGACAGGGTCCTTGGGGACCCAAATTGGCTTTCAAAATCCAGAAAACCAATTTACCCATGGGGGAACTTGCTTTTCAGCATGGGCCCAAGTGTTTACTCAGCTAACTACCTCTCTCCAGCCACAAGGCTGGGTTAGATTCCATTAACGAAACTGCCACCTATGGGGACCACAGTGAAGCTGTCATCTTGCCACATGGCATATCCTTATGAGCCAATGTCAGCCAATGAGGCAGATGGATATCCTAAACTAAGGCTGGCTTTGGTATAGTACATAGGTATGTCTGCCAGGCTCTCCTATGCACTTAAGCGAGCACTTGAGAGCAAACAGGATACACATTATTACTCTTTTACTTCCTCATCTCAACTCCCAGTACCAGGTGCCCACTGAATTTGTGGGGCCCTGGATTAGAGGCAGCTCATCGTGTTAGTACTGACAGTGCATCCTTCCCAGGATAACACAGAAAAAATGGCAGTAACTTCCCCTAAGCCTCTCATGCTCCTCTCTTACTATAGGGAAAGGTTATGTGAATACTGTACAGGTGTTAATATAAAAATACATATGCTCTCTTTGAGGAAGAATGCACAAATGCAGGGCCAGCCCAGGGGAGATCCTGGACCATGGGCTACGGCAAACGGCCTCTGTGGGCCCAAGGCCAGCATTCAGGATTGGTGGCTGCTGATGAGTCCTCGGAGCTGCTTGGCCACAGTGTCAATCAATTTCTGCTTGTCACGCTCATTTTTCCGGAACTGTGCAAACATGTTATTCTTGCGGCTAGTATCTTTCATCCTAAACATAGGAGAGAAAAGGGGCAAGGTGTCTGAGATGGTACCAGGCAAAGAACAAGCAGGAAGCAGGATGAATGGCAATATGTATCTTAACCATTACCCACAATGGAAGAGTCCAGAATATTCCCATTGTCTAGCTACCTACTCATTATGGAGCTGTCCTCCAGGCACCTACCATCTTCCTGGCTTCAGTTGCCTTTGATCAAGAGCTAGTTTTGGAGGGGTCAGGTCCTTATCCTCATACCTCCTCACCTGGCCCCTCCCTTACGGCTTCAGATGATCACCTTTTATGGAGAGGAGCCTGAAACATGGCACATTTCTGCTAGCCAGCAGACTCCTAAACTTGCCTGGGGTGCATTTATTTCATGACCCTGCTGGGATCAAGAAAGGGAATTTTGAAAGTAAGGCAGAAAGATCATAAGTCACCTGAGAGCCAATGTACATCTTTAAGACCCACTCTAGCTGTCAGTCTTTCTTGCCCCTGGAAAAATGAGGAGCTGGTCTCTTGGTTGGTTTCAGAGTTATGAATGAGAAGTAGTATGATGTGGGTGTAGTGCTGAGGGAAGCAGGTTCCCAGGGGATGGCCATCTCCTCAGTTAACAAAGCCAGGCTTTATATGAGAGACAGCCTGGGCTCTCAATGATCGTGGACAAGCTCAGATCTTTGTTTTGGGTCCTGCTAAAGCTCTGCAGGTGAAAGGCCCTAATGGGGAGGCAGGGTTAAAGAAAGTAAAACCAAACTGACATTACTGCAGTCTCTAGGTCCAGCCAAACACAGTAACAGAGCCCAGGACTATGCTGTTCTCTATAGAGGACGTGTAATCCACGGCATCCAATGCTGGTGACTCATTCTGCCTAGTTTATGTACCCTGATTCCTAGCCCGCGGGTGAGGTGGGCTAGCTGGCATCTTTGTTCTTGGAACTGAACTGGCTCTCTGATTCTCCTGTTCTTAAGGGCTGCATGGGGAAAGTCCAGAAGAGGGTCTAAGTTACTTCCAGGAATACTTCCCAAAGGTCTTCAGCCAATCCTGGGCCTCTTTTCCTCCTCTGCTCCTTTGTGGACAGCCTTTGAAGAGGGACAGAGTCGGAGGCCATGAATCAAGACAGGGATCCCACAAAGGCAATTTAGTCTTGCAGGCACAGTGTGTGCTCATCTGTATTTACATATGTCCACTGGAAAGTAACAGGCCACAAGGGTGTTCTCAGTGGATGGGAAACAGAGTTGTCAGGCTCTTCGACAGTGACAGCCAATGCTAGCTGTGATTTTTCTCCTCATCTAAGCTCACAGTAATCTTTCACCCAACACTGAGCTCCTTTGCACATGTGGAAGCCTGCTGGAGGCTAGGAAGGAGGGCAGATGACTGGGTTGGAAAGAGGGCTTTCCTAATGCCGCCAAGGCCCTGGTGAGCACAGTTTGCTACTTTAAACACTAGCAGCACAATTTTGTTTGTGAAACTGGTGGAGTTTCAGATTATTATGAAGGACTCCTTTCCTTTTGCTGGATAAGCTATAAATCCAAACAACACAAAACCAACAGGAAAGAGGAAACAGAAAAGTCCTTTTTACATTTGCAGGACATTTTGTTTGACTGATGGTATAATTTCCTGCAGCAGCGAAGAAATGGGTGGCTAGACAGCCTGTAGCTTAGGAGGAAGACCCTGCACTCTTCAAGAGAAAGAGAAGGGCCAAAAGGCAAGAAGTTCTTTGCCACTGAAGCCTTTGGTTGGATTCATACTCACAAATGCTCTGAAAGCTGACCGTGGCATGAAGGTTTGTATCCAGGAACATGCAAAACTCAAAGTGAACCTTCCCTTCTGCTATCCTTCGGTAAGTCTGGCATTCTCTTCTCCTCTAACACGGCCACCTTTTAGTGACACAGGGACTTTGTTTTTTCTAGACGGCACTGGCAGGCAGTGATCTGGGTTCTTCTGTCTTGACTCACTATGAAGAGTCAGATTTAGGAAAACAGAGTGGCAGACTTGGGTGGAAGTTGGCTCTGGGGAAGCAGGAACATGTCAGGAGAGAAGGAATTCCTCTGAGGCTGCAAGATGTGGGTATTTCAGTGACCTGGGGAGCTCTTGCTTTCCAAAATTGGACATAAAGATGTCAAGTTCACTGATGGCTAGGGTTTAGCACACAGCTTTGTTGTATGCTAGGCCACAATGGTGAGACATCACCAACTGCCATACCTAAGAAGAGCAATGGCTCTCAAGAGAAATGACTGAGTACCAGCTCAAACATCGGGCTATCTCCTCATTTCCACTGGGTAATGAGAACTCTGGGCCTGGCTTGCCTCTGACGAGGAATCCTCATGGGAGATAATGAATTCTAGACCCTAAAGCCATAGGCATTGTCCCCAGGAACTGGAATTTGCCTAGGAGCTCTTCTGTCAGGATTGAACTTCAGGCCCTGAGCCAATCAGAGTACCAAGCATGCTAGGAAGCTGAACGGAAGAAATCCTTTCCCTAGTGCTGATAGGAAAAGTCTCTGCCATCACTCCCTCCCCCAAATGAACTGGTAAACCAAAGGCCTGTAAGGAACAAAGAAAGAAAGTATCTAGCTGGGTGGCACCAGGATGGTTTAGAGATTAGATTTGTCAGGCTGGAGACCATTAACAGGACCAGGATTTTAGCCTAGTTATTGGCATCATTGAGGAAATTGGAAGGACTTGCCTCCAAGTGATTAAAAGTCACAAGTGAACAATATACTTACTCTCTAGATATTCTAGAGAAGAAAGTCATTGGGAGAGAGAACCATGGAAGAAAGTTACATGAAACCATCAATTCTCAGCATGTCTCTTGGCTTCAGACACAGAGCCCAGCATCCTGCTCTTGTCTATTCTTTGCTTCCCCTGTACATCTGGCGCATTCTCCAATACTACCAACTCACCTCACAAGTAAGAAAGATACACCTTGATTTCTATTTTTGTCTAAAGCTCTACTCTGACCTCCTGGACTCTAGCCCTTGCCTTTCTAGGGTTAGGGCATGCTTGGCTGCCCACACATATGGAATTTTTACATTGACTTGATACAGGTACTTTTGGGACTAGTCCATCTTAAGCTCTTTGACACGGGTCTGCCAGTTAGTTCTTAATAGGTTAACAAAGCCAGAGCCAGGGTGCAGTGCACACCACTGGCACCTGTGTGGCACACTGACTACCTTTGAGATGTCTGGTGCTGGATAACCCAGTTCAGTGAAACCACATTTCTGCGGGGCTCTGCTCTACATATCATTAAACCTCGAGGACTAGGACATTGCTCCTCTGCTTACCAGACTGGCCTGAGCCAAAACTAAGCCTTCTTACTATCTTCTCTTGCCTACTTTAGTAAAGACACTTTAAAAAAAAATTAGGCTGCAAGACAATAAAGAATCCCATTCTGAGCCAGGCGTTAGTGGCACACGCCTTTAATCCCAGTACTCGGGAGGCAGAGGCAGGCGATCTCTTGTGAGTTTGAGACCAGTCTGGTCTACAGAGCTAGTTCCAGGACAGGCTCCAAAACAATACAGAGAAAGCCTGTCTCAAAAAACAAACAAACAAACAAACAAACAAAAAAGAAGAATCCCATTCTTATTTGTACTTACAGCTTGCTAGAGCTAAGAATTAAAACTGGACTACCAAGTACAATGATCAAGATGGCTGACAGCACCTGTGGTAGCTTCAAGAACAAGGATGTTTTCAAGGCACCAGAAACAGGAAACTGGCCTTGTATGCACCCCTACCTCCTGCCCACCTCCCCATACAGAGCACAGGGCTGGGTACTCACTTCTCAAGCAAGGTCAGCGCTGTCACAGGGTTCACCCTGAGATACTTGCAGTTGGGTTGTCCATAGTCAGCAAGGTATGTGGACCAATCCCATTGAATGAAGAGGTCCAATAGCTGAAAAATACCCCAATACCCATACCAATGGTTAACCAAACAAAGGAAACCAGAAATCCCAATATTTCTTCTTACCAGCTAATTCTTTAAATACCACACTACAACTAGGAAAATAATCAAGAAAATTTCCACCACAAGCACAGTCCATCCCTGAGACCCCATACTATCAGTGGCTAGCTTATGGAGAAACTATTCTGGACTGATCTTAAATGCAGGGTCCATGGTAATCACTCATTATTCATTTGAGAAATGACTATCATGAGCTTTCTGTGCACTAAGCTCTACATGAGGAGCCCAGAATTTAACAATGAACAAATTAAACCGGCGCACTCCACAATGCAGCTTCAACTTCAGTTAGTCAGCACTGGGTGCTTGCTATACTCTGATTTTGTTGAATGGTCAATGTCCTTGACAGCCCTGCTGCTTTTAAACCATTGTCCTAGACAGTTTGTGTGTGATCAGGTGCTACATTTAGCTAGTATCTTCACTGGTGGTATTAGTTTTGATTTGGCCAAGACTTCTGACATCTCCTATCATGATTCTTCAACTATTTAATTATGAGGGTGTACTTTGTAACTAGTAAGATAGTGTAGAGATTTTAAGGATTTATTTCTATTTTATGTGTATGAGTTTTACCTGCAAGAATGCCTGTAAACTGTGTGCCTGCATGGTGCCCTTAGAGGCCAGAGGAGTGCATTGGGTCTCCTGGGACTGGAGTTACAGATGGTTGTGAGTCAACATGTGTGTACTGGGAACCAAATCTCAGTCCTCTCCAAGAGTAGCCAGTGTTTTTAACCTCTGAATCACCTCTCCAATCTCTGGGTAATATTTATTTATTAATCAAAATTGTTTAAATATGAATGCAATCCATAAGAACAGTAACAATGACAAAAATAGAACAATTTTTTTTTCTCAATAAAAATAGGCCAGATGCTACAAGGTCTCATTCTGTGAAAACACTATTTTCAAGTCTTAGTGCAAGGGGCCTTTGGAATTGGCCAACTGTGTGTTCTACTTCATGCCCTTAAGAACCTTAAGAAAAGCAGTCCCAACACAACAAATGACATTTGCAGAATATAATAATGGAGTGACAGAACTGAGGTTGACTGCTACAATCACATCCCTGTGTATTAAACTGTTATATCTTAATTGTTTATATGGTTCATTAGCCCAACAGCATCCTGAAAATTATCTTGTTCCATGTTCAGAGATAAAAGAGTTAATCACTCTTCCCATTATTTTCTAGAAGTAAGTCCTTGTTTACAGAGTCTGATGGCAATCACCAGCTGAAGGTCACCACTACACAGTATGGTGACATAAGGACTCTTGTACTCACCAATTCAGACACACTTCCAAAATATTCCCAATAGTCCAGTTTTTTTTCCTGTCCAGGAGGCTTGGTGCCAAGGACCAGATATAAGCACACATACATATAAGCAGCAAGATTACAGTCAACTGACTGAAAACTGAAAATGGCAGACACAGTGAGAGGTGCTGGTCCAACCACATCACCCTTCTGGGCCAGGGCACCCTGGGTAATATTTAAACTCACACAAATACACTGCTCTTGATAAAATATTTTCCTTATATAAAATATCTAGGGAAGCCTCCTAACCCAGTTGTCAATACTGTTCACATACTTAGGCTACCCCACCACCTTCCTTCCCTTGGCACTGAGCACCGACCCAGCTTCATTCTGCTATTACTGAGTGCTCCTCCTTCTCTCCTGTATGGACTCTGTGGTCCATAATTTTTTTATTTTACAACCCGACCGTGGGGTGGAGAAGAAAGGAGACAGGGTACCATCTCCTAGACTTCATTATTGAGCATGACCTCCAAAGTTTTTAACCATATCTGCACATTAAAAGTGTGAAGTTTATTTGCATTTTTCTTTGTATTAATTCATGTTTTAATCATTAAAATGTAGAAGTATTCTGTATCAGGATCAGTCCTGAGAACTGGTTTGGCACTCATGCACTGGTACTAGCAGACAGACGGAGCAGCTTTTCACTGCCTCTTGTTCTGAGTGGTCCATCTGTGTACCATCCAAGTTGCTTCAAGAGCCACTGTTGCAGCCTTCTGCACCTCCAGTATTTATCCAACAAGTGCTTAGGTGTTAGTCTGTAACTCTCACCAAGAGCCAGGTGATGATTTTATGTGTAGGACAGAGTTCAGTGATCAGAATATGTGTGGGTCTGGAGCTAGTCAGAGCATCTGTAACTAAGGGTCTGTCTTAAACTGGTAAACCTGCTGGATGTACTGGCCAAATTACTAACATTCTCTCTCTCTCTCTCACACACACACACACACACAAACACACAAACACACATACACATACACACACACACACACACACACACACACACACACACACACAATTCAAAGAGGGAGAGAGAGATGAGCTAACTCAACGTCCTTAGTCTTCTCACAACAGTTTTCCAAAGAGGGGCTTGGATGATTTTTATCTGTTGTTAAAATTGTTGACTCTGTAGGTAGTGACTTGTGACAGAATGGCAGAGGCATGCTCTATGTTTGTGATATGTTCACTCTTGTTTGTATTTTGAGAGACACATATTTTAAAAATATTAACTTTTGAAGTTTAAAAAAGTTTAAATGAAATAAGCAAACACTTATTTTCATGGGATTTGAAACAAAATAGTTTTTCTTATCTTGATCTTCCTTCCTTCCTTTCTCTTTTTGTTTTTGTTTGTGACAGGGTTTCTTTGTTGACTCTGTAGGTAGTGACTTGTGACGGAATGACAGACAGGTAACTTTGGAGCACCACCACCCCAGCTGTACTCCTCTTTATTATCGGGTGTTGCTTCCCAATAGCCAGAACTAAAAAATGAAATCCATACCAATGAAACTACAACCCTAATTTCACCAGATTTCTCCTCTGATGCCCTTTTTCTGGTCCACACTCACGCAATGATCTGCTTTCACGCGCTTCTTCAGTCACTCAGTGTGTTCCTGTTTTTCAGCTCTGTATTTCTAGACTTTGGTACTTGTGAAGATTTCACATTTTCTCATTTGTTTGGTAAGATATCCCTCAATTTGGGTGTACCAAATAGCTCCCCACAAATCAGAACGAAGCAGAAGTTCTCATCCTGGAAGTGATGGTGCCTTCCAGCAAGCACAGGCTCGTCTGGAGAACTTTCTGGTTGTCACAGGCTGTGGTGGTGGTGATGCTGGTACCCAGGGATTTTTGTTTTCAAGGATTTTAATTTTTATGTATGTGTGCTTGTGTACATCATAATTGTGTGTATGGTTGTGAGCTGCCCAGTATGGGTGCTGGGAACTGGCATCTCTTCAGCCCCCAGTCCAGAGACTTCATAAAACATTTCAGAGTGCAACCACTTATACTTTACTTTTCCTTATATGAAGGGACATCATAGCTATTCTTCTGTACTTTTGTCCATTTGAGCTCAGTATCTAGAAGCTTTTTCTAATCAATGATCACATTCTTCAATTAGTCATACAAATGCTGTGTATTTTTCAATATATAAACTGGAAGTCATTTTAACAGCTAAACCAGAGATAACATTTTTGGGAGCATTTCACTGCCAACCTGGGGGAGCAAGTGCCAATATCTGTAGAGTAGGACACAGTGCTAAGACAGAGCTAATTTGGTTAAAGGGAACTCAACTCTGATCTCAAACAGAAATAATTTTTTTATGATATTCATCATAAAACACGGGAATTCAACTAGTGTTAACAATTTGCGATATTTTATAAGCTATGTGGGTTAATTAACATAATAAATCATAATAACTAGTTATTAAACAAAAATGTGTATATAGGAAAAGGGATCTGTGTTGAATGGCTACACTTTGTGGAGAACCTGCTTGTGTATGCTGTATTTCTTACTTACTTTGAACTTTCCTATTGTTTAATATCAAGCTAAGACTCTGATTTCAGGATGTACGGAGAAAGAGAAAGACAGAAGATTAGCAATATAAGATTCAAGAAGGTAGAGATGGCTTCCTGGCCTGCATTTTCAAAGAAGCTATAGCTTAGAGCTGTTTGTTTCTAAATCTTCACTGATTCTGTTTCTGAATTAGGGGCTCTCCTGAAGGTAGGCCAAACCTCCTCCTTCCCTCCCTCCTTTTTTCAAAACAGGGTTTCTTTGTGAAGCTCTGGCTGTCCTGGAACATCATCATAGGGCATTCTTCATAATGCACAACCTACAGGCAAGTTCTAGGCGGCATCAGGGCACAGCAAGAACAAATGCAGGCTCAGGGTTCTCCATCTGAGAGTGTGATCACAGATAAAGCTTCTATCAACAGCTGAGGGCAAGCCAAGAGAAAGGCTGTAGAGAAACTGCTGAACAGCAGACCCGGCCATGACCCATCTATGTTTATTGCCAGGATTTCCCCTGACCCTGTGCCCTTGGCCACGCAATTCAAAGAACAGCTCTGGCTTGCCTTCTGCATGACCTCAGAAATGTTTCCTGATACAGACATCTGGACAAATGTGAGAAGAGGAACGAAGAACTTTAACAAATATAGTACCAACAATGTAGCAGGCACTCCCAGGTACCACGCAGGGAAGACGGTGAGATGCCATGTCCCATCTTGAACTGAGGCTGGTAAATGCAGAGTGATGGACACTAAGATACTGAGGAGGATGATATACTTCACAAGAAGGCTTATAGATCCAGGCCAGGCGGGTGGGGATTGGCATGGGTGAAGTAGAGGGTGCCAGGCAAGGCGCTGACAAGGAAGTCTCCGAGGAATACTTTGGATATAACTAAGAGAAAGAAAGCAAGGGACAAATGGCATTGATGTGCCAAGTTAAGGGGACTGGGTTTCAGTTGGAAGTCTTTCTACTTGCTTTATCAAGGATGCTCCCTGGTATTTTCTAGAGCAGAAGATGGAAAACTGTAATCACCACCTATTTTATTGGAACAGAGCTGTGTTCACTGGCTAACATCATAGCTATGGCTGCTTTTATGTACTAATAGTTAAGGTCAGAAGCTATGATAAACACCACCACATTCC